CGGAGAGACTGACCGAAGCGCCGGATACGCCGGACAGCTGTATCTGAGACATCTGTGCCGTGAGCTGAGGCATCAAAGTGCTGAAGTGCAATGTGTTTGGGTCGAGACCCTGTGGTATCATTTGGGCCATAGCGTGCGGCTGTACGATGTACTGAGTGGCCGCCTGCGGGTGCATCCACGGCGACGTCTGGAGGGCCGTCGGGTACGCGGCCGACACCGGCGTCGAGTACGACCTTTGGTACGATGTCATCGCTGAGGGCATCAGTTGAGTGGTCACTCCGTTTTGCGATAGAGTCGACGAGTCGTATGCCATCGGAATTTGCTATCAATCGGAATGACATCAAAACAATTAATATTCAAATATTCAACAGTAGTTTCTCTTACACATAAACTAATGGTTTTAATACATGTTATAATGAATGTTAACAATTAATTAATTGGAAAATTGTTAAGAAAAGAGTAAAATAAATAACAAATTATTAGAGATGTGATAGAAATAACAATACATTACTAATAAAGAAAACAAACAGATATTAAATAAAAAAGCAAAAAAACAAAATTAATGCCTAAAATCAAACCAAACTTTCTTATTGAGCACAGAATTAGAAGAGTAAAGAAAAGTCACTAAATAGTGAAGTGATGTGAAAACACACAACTCTTAGGCAACAAAAAACTCAATTAAAGACAATACACCTCTAAAAGCAACAAAACAATGAACAGAAGAAAATACAAAACGGTTTTATCGTCTAATTTGTAATCACATGAATATTTATATAATCCATAAATTCAGAGCATATTTGCGATAAATAAAGGAAATTGAAATTTGTTTCAAAAGCCAAATGTAATGATTTATCACTTTTATTATGCATTACACTTATGGTAAATTTGGCCTCAAATAAAAGCACAAAAAGTTAAGTTATATACCTTTGTATGAAATGTCTTGTATTCCTGGCGTTGAGAAAGTTGTGGTGAAAAGAAAAGCATTGATTAAATTAATGTCACTTTAATTTCAGTGATTGATATATCAATGGACCAAACGATCACTTACTTCGGGGTAATTTCATAGCCGCTGATGGAGTATTGATGGCATATGTCTTCATATGAAGTAAAGTGATCGCAACGATGACTATACTATTGTCGAGTATTAAACGCATTGTTTTATATTTATTGTGATTATTATATTTATAATGAGATTTAAAGCAAACAATTTATCGCGAAATTAGTTAACAAAGTATTCAAAACAACAGTTAATTAAGGATTAAAAACAAATAAATAAATTACAAAAACACTGATTTTATAATGAATTAATGATTTGATATTTGAGAGATAAGCGGACCCTTCGCTGGCAAACACTTATGGATATCCTATTGACGGGAACGGTATGTCAGTGGACCAGAAAACACACGACACCACCGACTGTATGGTAGCGTCTGTTTACCATCAAAGTCCGTACACTACCACTGCCTGTGCCACTGATCGCATCGGAAAATAGCACAGTTGGGCCATCCCTAACACATTGGGAACAGTTATACAATAATAATCATATATAAGATGTGCATAAAAAATAGTTAACAAATTTCAAGTTCAGGGCCAGTCGTTCAGAGGGTCTCAATAGTAGTTCTCTAGGCTTTTGAAGTTCAGTGGATCAGAAGCACATCAAATGCAGTGCCTTTACTTCCACATACAGTACAGCTGTCTCTCTATACCTGTGCCCTCAATACCTGTCCGCCACCGGGTTTCACATTTAGACTATGGTTACCAAACCATAGCATTTCAAGTTTTACCATCAAGAAAAAGACAAAAAATACTATTATAACAATTATAGTAATTTAAATATACATTGAATTGAATGCCATAGAGATTACGGTTGTGTTTGTGTTTTACCGACTCATCAAAAGAAGAAGAAAAATTAATCTGTAAAACAGATCCCATATTAAAAGCCTAAATCGGTTTATAATATACCCCTTAATATATAATTACTATTTGATTAATTTATGATAAATTAGATTTAAATATAGTTTAAAACTTTTTGGTGGCATTAGTTTTTTTTGCTCATCATTTAGAAAACGTTACAATTTTTAAAAATCTAATTTTTATGCATTTCTGGGATAAATATCTCAGTTTTTTCTTTCTTTTTCTAAAAAAGCGTAAACCTATTGAATAGTAATTGATGTTTAGGTAGTGATAGAGGATTACAGACACACTTTGTAAGGATGGCCTCAATTTGGATAGTATTGGGGAACAGGATCTTCATATTGATAATCGTATACCAGATCTGTATTCTTCGCCACAATTGAAAGCCTGAGTTATGGGATATCCGGTCGTGAAAATAGACTTTAATTATGGACACATCAAACATATGGTATATTCTCAGAAATAGACACAATTGTACGCAATTTTCATCCCAAATCTGTTTGCAAACCTATTTATTGCGTGAATTCGTTAACACTATTTAAACTAATTTTAAGATTCAAATGTTGTAAAAACTATATTAAAGTAAATTCACGGTTAGATTAGATTATCTAATAATTTAATCACTTATCTAATTATAAGTTAAAAATATACGTAAAACGCCTTTAATCTCAATGGGTTTAAGTTCGCGTTTGTCTGAAGTCTAGAAAAAAGTCGTCAAACAGGAAGTGTTTGAAAATAGCTATAAATATACACAAAAAAATTAAGTTTTTCTATCAAATGTTTATATTTTTCGGAGAATTTAAGAACTCTTGGCGTCCAGTCGTAGGCCAAGGGTTGGAAAATATGGATCATTGGGTTTCTGTAACTGTATTTCAACGAATGATGTTTACGATTGTGGATATCTTAATAGTTGATCGAAAGTTACTTAAATAGTAATTTTGTGCTAATAGTGTACAGAATATCAGATATATTGATCATAAGTAACACTCTATTTGCAAAATCATTTATTTAAATACTCTTTCTAATATTACTTATTTACTAATAATGAGAGTGAGTGAGTGAGTAAGTGAGAGAGAGAGAGAGAGAGAGAGAGAGAGAGAGATTCCCTTAAATTAAGGGCCTTAATGTATATCAGTTAAAGTGTAATTCAATTAAAAATACAAGAAAATTACAAAATAATTGAAAACTTTTTTAAAATGTTTTTATTCTTTGTCTCAAAAAATGTTTTACAGCAAAACAAATGATTTCTTATGTATTTAATTAAATTTTCAGATGAATTACAATAATATTTTGTATCTTTTTTTTGTATTTTTTATGTTTTTTCTTCTTCAATGGATGAGAGAAATGAAATTCAAATAATTTATGGCCAAAAGAGAAGATGTCTTTCATTTTCATTTCAAATGACTTTTTACAAAATAATAATAATAAAAAATGGAGAGAAAATTGTGAGAAAACAGTTGTTTCAAAAAATAAACTTTTCGCACACTTTTCTTCAATCAATTCAATTGAAAATCGAAAAACAATTATTTTGTATTTCATTTTTATTTCATTTTCTTATTAAATGATTTGTTGTTTCTGTTGTAGTGTTGTGTCGGATGTTATTGTTGTCGTGATGTTTGGTGTAATCGATGGGAATATCTGTTGATCTGTTGCTGTGGTTGTAATTGTCGTTTTTGTTTCTTGTATTTGTTGTCTGTTGTGTTGGTATTGATGTGATGTATGGGTGGACACACTCTCCCGACACACCGGCCTGTCCTGTACTGTCTGTCCGGTCAGTCCGTACGGTGTGTCCACACGCGGGGGAGAGAGTGAGTGAATGAGTGATACAGAGACCGAGATTTAGAGCGAGAAAAATGAAAAACATAAAAAGTGAGAGATTTGTGTCCTCTCGTTATGGTGTAGGCACTGGTAGGCACCCAATTAGACACACACAACACCCCCAACACAATACACATACACCGCACACTTGGAAGCCGGGTATAGCACTGTATGCTTTGTGGTATTAAGTCCTTGATGATTCGCAATGTTCGGCATGGTCAATTGTCTCAATGATAATTCATAATGGTAATGAGATTTAAAAAAATAAAATCAAAAATCAAATCAATAAATCCGTATTTCATGATGAGAGGGGGTTTGCGGCACACAATATACACCAATTTTCACTCTTCAATGTGTATATAGATATACAATTGTGTATATCATGTGTTCAGTCAATGTGTGTGTCTCTTATGTTATCATTTTTGTTGAGTGTTTATGAAATTTTTTGTTTCGCATCGAAATTAAAATCAATTAATTTAAAAAACTTTTCAATAATAATTATAAATTAACTTTGAATTAAAGTGAAAAACATGGAGTGAGAGGAGAGGGAGGGATAGAGTGAAGACTCGAAGGAAACTAATAATAAACAAATCTGTCGACAAAAAACAAACAAAATTTAAATTAAACTAATTGTATGAAAACATAATTTCGGGCCTAATCTGTCATTTAGACTGATTGTACATTTGAAACGAGTGCTGGTCTTCACCCGAAGCGCTGCCACTACTGACCGAATGCGTTGGGTTTGACGGATCCTAAACCATAGCCACAAACGCCGTAACATTAGATATGGGATACAAAAAATACATAAATCACACATTAATTGCTTATTAACAGTAATAACAGTTAATAGTATACGAAATGCAATAAATAAAAGTGCAAAACTCAATGAGAAATAAAGAGAGCAAATACTAAATCAAACAAACGAAGAGAGAGAGAGAGAGAGAGAGAGAGAGAGAGAGAGAGAGAGAGAGNACGAAGAGAGAGAGAGAGAGAGAGAGAGAGAGAGAGAGAGAGAGAGAGAGAGAGAGAATAATAAGACTAACACAACAGAGTAAATGAGAAGAAAGATGTGAAATACGATCGACTCATTCAAACACATATAACATTTAAATAGAGGAAAAAAGAAGTGAAGAAAATAAAAGAAGAAACGAGTAGTAAATCGATAACAAAAATCTCAAACCTTTCATACAATGAAAGGACACAACAAAAGGAAAAAAATTAATTGATTATATATGTCTCTCACTTGTGGTTCACTACTGAAATTTTTCCCGAAACACATGTGAAGTGAAAATACACGGAAGAAATCAAAGACAGACAGAGAAAGGATGAGAGAGAAAAAGAAAGGAAATTTGCGGTCAAATTGTGTGGCAATAGAGTAATGCTGTCATTGTATTGAGTGGTCACTTACGTCGCCGCCGCCGAGCGGTACGGTCTGTATTAACTGAGGGTATAGGGCTTGACCACCGTATGCGTGCGGATTGCCGGTCACGTACTGTAATCGGGGTAGAAATGGCATGAAAATACAAAAACACAATTAATTACATTTTCAAACAAATTATACGAATATTGATTAATATAATACTAGATCTGTAGCGAAAATTTGCATTTTTCTCCCATAAAAGAAGGGGAAAGAGAGAGAGAGAGAGACTAAATGTATGGCGATTTTGGCTAACAATTGATGGGAGGCTTGAAATGTAATTCTCCGATATATTAATAACAATAATATAAATAATAAAAACAAATTAATCACGAAATATAATAGTAATATCAAAATCGATACGACGATAAAATGCGAGCCCAAAAGCTGTGGACTAAAAATTACACAATTAAAAGCCAACGGATGAATGAATAGTTGATTCATTACGACCGGAAAATCGATACCATTTGCAGCACACTTTTACCATAAGTGAAACTTACTTATACAGATATGGCATACAAAATACTAAACTACATTCAAAATTATCGCTGTAATCACTCGGAAAACCAAATCAAAACCTAAACTTAATTATACATATATAAGAGATTACAAGTCATACGTGTGTAATGAATGACAATAAAGTCATAGAAAACGCTAATTATAACACTAAACACTATTATAGAGATTGAGAGCTAGAAAAGTGATAATCAATGGGCTGTCAGTGAATTTGCTGATGACTACCGGGAGTTCCGGTAATAATAGATATGACGATAGATATAGAGCTGACATATAATGGAGTGGCGGAGAGACTGACCGAAGCGCCGGATACGCCGGACAGCTGTATCTGAGACATCTGTGCCGTGAGCTGAGGCATCAAAGTGCTGAAGTGCAATGTGTTTGGGTCGAGACCCTGTGGTATCATTTGGGCCATAGCGTGCGGCTGTACGATGTACTGAGTGGCCGCCTGCGGGTGCATCCACGGCGACGTCTGGAGGGCCGTCGGGTACGCGGCCGACACCGGCGTCGAGTACGACCTTTGGTACGATGTCATCGCTGAGGGCATCAGTTGAGTGGTCACTCCGTTTTGCGATAGAGTCGACGAGTCGTATGCCATCGGAATTTGCTATCAATCGGTATGACATCAAAACAATTAATATTCAAATATTCAACAGTAGTTTCTTTACACATAAACTAATGGTTTTAATACATGTTATAACAAATGTAAACAACGAATTAATTAATTGGAAAATTGTTCAGAAAAGAGTAAAAGAAATAACAAATTATTAGAGATGTGAGAGAAATAACAATACATTACTAATAAAGAAAACAAACAGATATTAAATAAAAAAGCAAAAACAAAATTAATGCCTAAAATCAAACCAAACTTTCTTATTGAGCACAGAATTAGAAGAGTAAAGAAAAGTCACTAAATAGTGAAGTAATGTGAAAACACACAACTCTTAGGCAACAAAAAACTCAATTAAAGACAATACACCTCTAAAAGCAACAAAACAATGAACAGAAGAAAATACAAAACGGTTTTATCGTCTAATTTGTAATCACATGAAAAACACAATCGAAAGAGTAAAACAAAAATAATAGGAACAGAAAGAGAGAATAGAGGAGTCAAACGTTTGTGTAACTATCGCTTGACAAATGAATTCCGAGAGCGAGAGAGAGAGCGAGCGAGAGAGAGAGAGAGAGAGAGAGAGAGAGAG